GAAGACTCCTGCTACTCTTCGAGTCGAACTAATTGATACTCTTGTGAGGCAAAGGAGGGGGGGGGGGGAGGGGGGACTCAAAACATCGTAGAGCAAAATCTTGTCGCAAGTTCTTTTGTCATTTTTGTGGGAAATAGCGTTATGCTGAATTGGAGAGCCAATTGTATCATCAGTCGAAGCCAGCCTGAAGTAGCCTGAGGTGTAATATAAGACAAGATGCCTCTTCGTTTGAATAGAAAGATGCAGCAATGTAAAATCAAAATGGAACATTGATCACCGGTTGGAATATGCACAGGATCTATTTAGCGACAACTATTAGTAAATGATAACTAGAGAATGTACAATGACGATTCTCCTATTTTGTACCCCTTCAGGCCATGGAGATGATTGACCTGTCGGCTTTCGAGAACATCGTGAAATGGATGAAGAAATGCAAGGCGGAGATGAAGGGATACGAGGAGATCGAGGAGAAGGTCCTGCCGGAGGTCAAGGAGCGACTCCTCTCCAAACTCGGCTGAAGCGACTGCCGACCTGCGCGCGTCTCCAAATTTATCGAATTTGATATATTAAAAGATGCGAATGCAGAGACTCTTTCGCTACGGCTTTCTCTTCGTCGGCTCCGTGAAAGTGTCTAAGACCGAAGTGCTCGCATACGGGGACGTATGTTAGGAGTATCGACAGAGTGAGACTCGTCATCCTTCGATGCTCTCGCACGTCCAGATCACTCGGATAGCATTCAACGACCCGATATTGTGATATCTCGAGTAAATCGGTCATGAGCAAGCGAATGCAACATTGAGAGCCAAAACGTCGCTCACCCTAGACGTCCCCATGCGGCTATCGGTGACCAACACGCAATTCGAAGGAAATCGGCATACCGACTGGCGGGGCCCAAATGAGAGCTAAATTCATCGCACAGGGCTTTGAAAGACCTTTCTAGCGATATATCACACGACTATACTCACCCTCTTAAAGAGAAAAAGAATTTTGTAACGTGCAACTTTTCACGATTTGAAATATTATAGTAGCTTAAAAAAGTTTACGAAAAATTGCTCTTGGGTACTGATTTTCAGTCGGATCGCAATGACCATTGGTTGAAATGTTACTAATTTAGATTGTTACCTGATAAAAAAAGAGGCACTGCTGCTTATTTAGAGGGAAATTATATGTGAGCGTGAGTACCATATCAAGAAACGAAAGTAATTTCCGCAAATTTTTTGAAGCTACTAGTATATGTAGTAAAGCGAAAACCAATTTTCAATTGCTTTCCCTTTCTTCAATCTCCCCCTCCCCCCCCCCCCCTCGCCTCTCTACGGGACTCACTAACG